GGTTGGAGCTAAAATCTCCAGGACACCGGCCCTCCAGGAACAAGTGACCACTGATTTAAACCATCAACAGTTTGTATAGAAAGCAAAGTAATCCAACCAAATTCTTCTAGGACAGAGGAAAAATCTTACCAGAACATAAAAGGACTAAAAGTTAATATACAACAACAGACGAGTACGCAGAGCAAGAAGTATTATAAATGCAAAGACATTGTCAAATAATAAATTCTGATCGTACAAAGAATATTGCATGAAAATGATAAAAATCATTGTAATAATAATAATAATAATAATAATAATAATAATAATAATAATAATAATTATTATTATTATTATTATTACTATTTTACCAGAACAATGTTTATTTCAGTTTAATACACAATATCTGATTTCAAAATATAAAGAGAACTAGAGAATAATGAGAACTAGATTCTTAAAGTTTGAGGACAAGTTTTGAGGCTGGCTTGTGAACGCCTGATGGTAATAGTTTATTTAGTTTAAACAGTTTTTAAAAAGTATGAAAAGATAGATAGATGGATGGATGGATGGATGGTGTGCTAGCTTGAGTCAAACAAGCCAACCCCCGCTTCTCTACGATGTTCTGATGCTGAGATATAGCTGCTGTTATATCGTTGCTAGGTTAGTCTGTTTTGTTGCTATGGAGTTGATTGACAGCTTAGACTGATGATTTATCAAAGCTTCTTGCCAATATGAACAGTTAAAAACAACCCCCATGTCTTTATCACACTGTAGCATAACAATAATAATCTGAACCTCTATAATGGCAGTCTATGGGACCGTGGCTAGGGTGCAGTATCTGGTTGTTAGGGTGTGGCTAGAAAGTTGAAAGCTCATCAGTTATTGGTAGTTTGGTAGTCTGAGTTAAATGAGCCCAGTTAGAAGTCTGTGCGACAGTCTGATGTAGAGTTATGAGCTCACAAAGTTTGAGCCAATGTCAAGTCAATGAGAGTCTTTTGCAGTGTAAGTCTATGGGACAGTTTCTAGGGTCCCAAAAGTGGTTGCTAGGGTGTGGCCAGAAAGTTAAAAGCTCATTAGTTATTGGCAGTTAGGTAGTCTGAGTTAAATGAGCCCAATTAGAAGTCTGTAGGACAGTCTGATGCAGAGTTATGAGGTCACAAAGTGTGGTCCAATGTTAAGTCTATGGGATTTTTCCGACGGTCCCAGGACATTTTTCAGTAAAACCGAAAGTCGGATCAGTAGAAAAAGATATAGCAACCCGAGTCAGACCAGTTTGGAGGTCTGGTGTAAGTTTGGTGGTCATAGCTCGAAAGCTCTAGAAGGAGATAGAGTTTAATTTTTAGTCTCAGAAGAAAAATAGGATAACAATAGTCTGGCATGCTACACATGCCAGCCTAATAAAAAGCAGGTTTAATGGGAGAGTAAATGGGAGATGAAGTGTGTCCATTTAATCATTCCGGAGTCAAATTTAACGTTTTACTTTTGAAAATGCAGTAAAAATCCATTTACTATGTTTTCCAGTTGCCCTTTTGAATCATTTTTCCTGAATCATTTAGCAGATTGCTTCTATGTTTGTTCTTGGTGCCAACTATATGTGAAAAATGATCGATAAAAGGTAGACACTGCATTCAACTCTGTTCAATCTGATTTCGGTATAACAAAGTTTTGTTTTTATTTTTTTAAGTATGTGAGGTCTGAAACATTAAGGAAAAACTGAGTATGCACTTGATCCCATGCAGTTTGCCTATCTGCCCCATCGGGGAGTATATGATGCCACAATTGCTTTCCTTAATCTCCTTTTTAAACATTTGGGGATTCAACCTCATATTTTAATAAGGATTTCAACCTCATATTTTATAAACAATTCAACCTCATATTTTAATAAGGAAACTGCTAGAACAGTTTGATCTCAGTAATAACCTAGTGGGCTGGATTCTTAACTTTTTAACTAACCGAATACAAAGTGCAAGAGTAAATGGATGCTTATCTGACAAAGTTTGCTTCTCAACTGGGTCCCCAAAAGGATGTGTTCTTTCACCTCTGTTATACATCCTCGACAAATACAGCGAGAAAAATAATTATTGAACACGTCACCATTTTTCTTAGAAAACATATTCCTAAAGGTGCCTTGACTTGAATATTTCACTGGATGTTGGTAACAACCAAATAAATCCATATATGCAAAGAAAACAAATCTAATTAGTTTACAAATTAAGTTATGTTTAATAAAATGAAATGGCACATTGAAAAAGTATTGAACACATGAAGAAAGGGAGGTGTAGAAAGGCAGTGAAAGACCAGACAGCAGCTGAAATCTCTTAGATCTTCAGCCATCCTCTGCTCTTCCTCATAGTGAATGAATATCAGCTGCATCAGTCCAACATCTACATTAGCAGGATGATGAAGAAGAAACCAGGGTGGACATGTCAGCAAGACAATGATCCAAAGGATCAGCCAAGGAAACTCTCAAATGCTTTCAGAGAGAGAAAATCAAGCTGTAGAATGGCCCAGCCAATCACAGGATCTAAATCCAATTAAAAAAAATGCTAAATAAAGGTCAGATTTGATCGACGAAACCCATAAGTGTTTTACACTAAGTCTGTAAAAAAACTTAACTTTTTTACTTTTACTTTATTTGTTTAATACTTTTATTTGGTATTAAATACGTTGCAGTATCTCAGTACGTTTTCCTTGTGCTATTTCATTGTTATTACCCATAAAAAATCATTTATATAAATAAATTATTTTATTATATTTTGTGTGAATTGTTTGGGGTCAACTGCTTCTTTAGAAATAATATTACAAGGAAAAAAGCCATTATGTGTTCAATACTTATTTTCTCTACTGTATGTGCCAAAGTAGGTGGGAAAATAGAACCGCTATATAATTAAGTATGCAGATGGCACTGTCATTGTCAGCCAACTTCATGATAATGTAATCGTTCATGGTACTTGCTGATTTTGTTAGATGGTGTGAGGAGACATATCTTCTGTTAAATGCATTTCAGACAAAATATATGATAATTGATTTTAGGAAGGCTACCCATACACAGGTGAACACTTATGTTAAAAAATCAGACTGTCAAATGTGTACATGCAAACTTCATACAGAAATGTCACCTGTTCCAGTCGGGACTCAAACCAGTGACCTTCGTGCTGTGAGGTGACGGACCACTGCGATATTGTGCCGCCAACAAACAAACAATTTAGGAGTTTTTAACTGAATTTTTTTTTTTTTTCAAATAATTTTTTATTTACTCATGTTCTTCTGGTAACTGCACTCAGTAGAATATTTTATGATAAACTTTATTAATGGCGTTTCACAGAAATATTGACTTATATTCATTCTTTTAATCAAATAAATGTGACCTATATTAGACAAATGTAAATCTCCTGATGGTAGAATGATAATAAATTACTGGTAGACGCTGACAGCACATAAATGCTGAAATGTAAAGTGTGTCATTTTATGCACATTTAAATGTGATTCATTTTCATTTGTACTTCATACATAATTAATGCCTATAGCACAAATGCACAGTGCTAAAAACAAAAAAAAAACTGTAAAAAGTAGTAGTATCTCACATTTTATTCCATTTCTCTACATTTAATCATGTTCTATTAACAAATATTAATCTGAAATTTTATTATCTCTCATTTTAGTCAATTTGTCTACATTTAGTCATGTTTTATTAACAAAACTATATTTGAAAGTATATTATCTCACATTTTAGTCTATTCTGTCCATATTTAATTATGTTTTATTAACAAAAACCATGTGAAAGTATATCATATCACATTTCATTCAGTCAGTGTTATAATATTTAATTATGTTTTATTGGCAAATAATATTCTGAAAGTATGTTATCCCACATTTTAATCAATTCTGTCTATATTTAATTATGTTTTATTAACAAAAACAATGTGAAAGTATATCATATCATATTTCAGTCAACTGTTTTAATATTTAATTATGTTTTATTAGCAAATAATATTCTGAAAGTATGTTATCCCACATTTTAGTAATTTTTTTCCACATTTAATCATGTTTTATTAACAAAAATATACTGAAAGTAAATTATCTTACACTATAGTCAATTCTCTCCAAATTTATTCATTCATTCATTTTCTTTTCGCCTTAGTCTCTTTATTAATCTGGGGTCGCCACAGTGGAATGACCTGCCAACTTATCCAGAATATGTTTCACGCAGCGGATGCCCTTCCAGCTGCAACCCATCTCTATTAAACATCCATATCCTCATTCACACTCATACACTACGGACAATTTAGCCTACCCAATTCACATGTACCGCATGTCTTTGGAAACCGGAGCACCCGGAGTTAACCCATGCAATCGCAGGGAGAACATGCAAACTCCACACAGAAATGCCAACTGACCCAGCCCAAGCTCGAACCAGCGAGTGAGGCGACAGCGCTACCTACTGCGCCACTGCGTTGCCTCTCAACATTTAATCGAGTTGTATTAACAAATATTTATCTGTATATAATTATATACATTAAAATATCTAAAAGTATATTATCTCACATTTTAGTCAATTCTGTCCACATTCAATCATGCTTTTTTAACAAACATTAATCTAAAAGTAAATCATCTCACATTTTAGTCAATTCTCTCGACATTTAATCATGTTTTATTAACAAAAATAATCTGAAAGTAAATCAATTTATCCCAACATCTCACAATTTAGTCAATTCTCTCCATATTTAATCATGTTTTATTAACAACAAACAAAAACATAAACTGATTGAAAGTATATTATCTCACATTTTAGTCAATAGTCTCCACATTTAATCATGTTGTATTAACTGTCCCACTATCTTGTACATCTGCTGTTCACTATATCTGCTAAAGCTCCTGAATCTTCTCCACATGCTTGATTTCCACCTGCACCTGTTGGAGGGTTGTGCCTGAAACGTTTCTTGTGTGTTAAATATGTGTTTTCATAGGCCAGGTGTGGCAATCCAGCATTTGATTGGACGCTGCAAACCTTCAAATGCTCCACTTTGCAATGAAACACCCAGAACATTGTGACAACCTTCAGTAAGCAGACAGAGGAAAAAATCAATTCCTGTTGAACATTGCAAGGACAAAACATGAGTGGATGTCCATTTTTGGGAGGAACGCTTCAGTGCGTTTGGCATTTTAGTTTTTTATTTCCTTTTGTAATTAAATTAAATAGAATGCAAACAAATTAAATGTAATGTCTGTACTTTTACATTTTAATCTCAATATTAGATTGTTGTCCAGTAACCCCAGGCAGGCGGAGGAAGAGGATGGATCCCAAGGAGGCGTCAACAAAGCCGCTAAAGGAGGAATCATCTACGGAGACTATTTACAGGTAAATAACTCAACCTTCAATCAACCCTTAATAGACATTTCTACTCACCTAAATTCTTCCTCCGTATAAATATATATATATATATTACAAAATATATATATATATATATATATATTTCTAGATTAAATAAATTAATTCAATGTGTTTTTGTGTTTTCTGATAGCTTGACAAGGTGCTGAATGCTCAAGTTTTGCAGAGTGAACAAAAAGGCAACAAAATCCATGATGAGCATCTCTTCATCGTTACTCACCAAGGTAATCTGTTTGTATATATTCATTATTTAAGGAGGTTTTTACAGGAATTTGAATGAAGAACCATTGGTTCTAATAAACCAATAATTTTGAAGTAAGTAACATTTTATTTATCAACACTGTAAAAAATAAAAGATGGGTTCCACACAGCCGATTTGTGTTGGGACAACATAAAGGATTTAGGTTAACTTATTGGTTACTGGTTTAAACATAACACAATTAAGTTGTCACAAACAAAGCAACAAAAACGAAAGATTTGTGTTGTTTTAGCTTATTTAAAATAAGTAGTTTAAACAAACTGTGAAGTAAGCTCCACACACCTGAAGCAAGGATAGGTGCACGGCAAATATCACCATGTGCAAAAGGTAAACAAATAATCCTGCACGCTATCAATACTTGCTGTAGGGTGTGATAGGGATACATAGGTCATCATGTATGAACATATGGTGTTTTGAATAAGATAAAATTGCTGATTTGTACTACAGTGATTGGCTCTCATTAATTAAATTTAATTCATCTTTATTTCTATAGCGCTTTTACGATGTAGATTTGTGTAAAAGCAGCTTCTCGTAAAGTTTCAGAGAAGTTCTCATAAATTGAAACTGTCAGTCCAGATTTCAGAGTTAAAGTTCAGTTCAGTGTAGTTTAATTTACAATGCTGAAAGTCCAAACATTAATGATGTTTATTTGCTATTACTGTTGTTGTTTTCTATGTGTGTACTGTAATGATCTGAGTGGGGATCAAACCCGGGTCTAGTTCTTACTAGATGAGCTAAGTCAGCAACTGGTGGCCCAAGAGCAGAGAAGGAACAAAGTTAGTCCACAACTAATGAATTTCCAAAAAATAATATAGTCTTTAATAATTTAAATTATTTAATTTAATTTAAATAATGAATAAGAAGGCTGGTCAAATAAATTAATTAATTTAAAAAGTGTGACTGATGAGAGCAACAGAGTCTGAAGCTAGGGACACCGGCCCTCGCGGCCAAAAAACGGACCGGCCCACCGGGAATTCTCCCGGTCCTCAAATACGTTGCGCAACCTTCTCACCCCTGCCCATCACATCCCTCCTTGCTCTTCAGACACGTCGCACACACCTTGTCAAACACACCACCAAACCACCACCCCCGCTGAAAGCTGAGCGGGACTCTGCAAAATAAACCCTGAAACTCTGATCAACGTGAGGAGAGTTTACTCACACATGACTTGTTATAGCTCTTTTGGTTCGTTTAGAAACTTTTCCGTTTGAAAGCGCGCCAAGAGTAAAGAGCAATAATATAACAATTTTGATCCCTGTTTTGGAACAACTGAATCGATTAACAGGTGTGACTCAAATGGACCATCACAATAAAGTGACAGAGCAAATTAAATCAAAAGGCTACAGTTAAGGTTTTTTGAGTGTTTAGTCTGATGAAGGTCTCATGCGACTGTGAAATTTTACATAACAAATAATTAAATTTTCCTATGAAGAAGCAACGGGCTCTATGGGTGTTGAAATAATAATAAAGAATCTTGGTTTATAAGATTGCTCTACAGATCCTGACAGTGTTGTCATATTTTCTTTTCCTTTAGCGTACGAGTTGTGGTTTAAGCAGATATTGTGGGAGCTTGATTCAGTTCGTGACCTGTTCATTAAAAAACATGTGAGTACAAATTGAGTAAAATACGTACGTTTAAAAAGAGTGGAGATCACTCTATACTGTTTTTTTTTTTTTTTGTTTGTTTTTTTTTGTTTTGTTAAATGTTGTTAATGTGTGTTCTGGTTAAAAATGTTTCAATGTTGATTTTGTTCGGCAGGTTCGGGATGAGAGAAACATGCTGAAGGTGGTGAGCAGAATCCACAGGATAACCATGATCTTCAAGCTGCTGGTAGATCAGTTTGCTGTACTGGAGACTATGACTGCTCTGGACTTCTTTGATTTCAGGTAACAGCTTCATTCAGTGCTGGTTGCAATTTATGTCTAATTTATATGTAAAATAAATCTTTTAAATGGGATCAAATTAACTTTTCTAGTTGTCTCAAGTGACAAAAAATATAAGTTAAACTTTGTGTAACTTACAAAAATGTAGTTGAAACCTGATTAATTTGATAAAAAAGTAGAGGAGTAAAATGCTTTCTTATTTGTATATCATTCCACAAGTGTCTCATGTATTTGTTCCATTGGTGGATAAAGCACACAATATCAAGTAAATAAAAAAAAAAAAAAGCCGGATAAAACTTTACTCCTTTTGATTTTAGTTGAGTACAAAAGCTCTTGCTTTTTTATGTACTGAAAAATGAAGGTAACACTTTATTTAAATTAGTGGTGGGCCGTTATCGGCGTTAAAGTTCTGCGTTAACGCGAGACTCTTATCAGGCGTTTAAAAAACCATGGTCATTAATCTGTTCTCAAAGTTGTGTTGGGAGCTGGGCCTATTCTATGCAAGCTATGATAACTTTCACTTTAATATTTAAGCGTGCATGTATACCTGACCGAATTGCACTGTAGGTGGCGAGAATGAGTCTTTGAACCTGTGTGTAGTCTTACTGTGAAATTACCACATCAAACATGACGTGCTAACATGGACGCAGTTCACTAGAGTAAATCTGATTAATGTTGGCTCCATATCTAACTATCAGGCACCTGTCGAGTTTATGCGTTCGAGTAAAACATATACAAACAAAATGGGCCGAGTGGTTTTTTAAAATGAATGATGTTGAATGAAAGTCAAACCGGTGATCCACCTGACAAAAAAGTGCCCTTCCGAATCAAATCAGCAGGATCCCCTTCTGGATCTTTTACTAACTTTGAAGACACTACTGAATGCGCTTACATGGACATCTGTAGTCTTGTTATTTGCCTAGACAATAATATAATTAGGGTGTTTATGTGAAGTGCTTTCATGTAAGAGTTTTCTGTAATTTTGGGTGACTTTAACTGCGGTTCGGCAGTTTCACTTTAACTTATGTACATTTTGTTCATGTCCCTGTGACAAATTAAACACAAATAAGGAGTAAGGACTGGTGAGAGTGTTACTGAATTAATTAACGGACACCAAATGGAAAGAAAAAAAGGTCCACACTTCATGATCAAATAAGTTATGACTTTAGTCGGATTAAAGTAATCAAAAATTGCTGTTTTGAGCTTATGTAGGCCTACAGTTCAGAATTCATGTTTAACTGAATAACAGTTAGTAGACACAAGTACATCTTATTGAACATCATTTATTTTCATCACCAATTGTCATAGTAGAACAGTTTCTCAAGCAGTTTGTGATGCATTTTGGAAACAGGAGATGAGCCCCTGGTCAAATGCGCCACCTGGCTTGAGAAAGCCGTTCTCAAAGACTTACTTTTAGTCATTATTTGGGTAGCCCATATATTCTGAATGCCTTCGGCAGAATTCAAACAAGCCACTTTAATCTGGATTAATCTAGATAATTTCCAAAATTACAGTGAGATTAATATAGATTAAAAAAATTGTCATGAAACCTTTATAATCATGACAAGACATGTCATGAAGGTGAATGAGATTTTTTGCATGCTCACAATTGTCATTAAGTGTCATTGGCTAAGTTATGACATTTTAAATGCAATGATGTTGTTAGGTATGACCAGGTTATGACAACTTGACATTGTCACGACAACAAAACTTGTCATAAATCTGGCATGATTGTCATGAGTCATTTTAACTGTATTTAAACGTCTATGTGTAACAGAGCAAAATGTGTTAGCATTTTAAGAACAATACACCACTATAATAGCTGTATGTCTAGTATGACCTAAATCAGCGTGGGGAAAATATTTGACAATTTTACATTTAGCTTTTAAATAAGACCTGCCCTATTCAAACAGGAAATAACAGAAATGTCCAGGATCAAGCATTTCATACTGTGGAGTTAAACATGTTGCCCTTTTACAGCAGATTTACTTCACCAGCAATCGACAGTCATTACATAAATATGATATTTATTTAAAATAACACATTTTCATTTTTGCATTAGTAGCTTACTTTTGGACGACTTTTCACACCATCAGTCACATGCACTCAAGCTCCAGGATCTCCTTTTCTTTATTTATTTTGAGTCCTAGTTGTAAATTCAGTGATTCATTAACTGGAGACTCACTCTGACCGTGTAATTCAAATCAGTGAATCATTAACTGTAGATTCGATCTGACTGGATCATTTAAATCAATCAATTGTTAACTGGTGATTTGCTCTGTTCAGATCAATTGAATCATTAAATCATTTACTGGAGACCCGCTGTGATCGGATCAGTTGAATCAGTGAATTGTTAGCCGGAGAATCACTCGGATCAGATCAATTGAATCATTAATTGGAATCTCGCTCTGATTAAATAAATTGAATTAGTGAATCGTTAACTGGATACTCACTCTGATAGGATCAATTGAATCAGTGAATTGTTAATTGAAGACTTGCTCTGATCAAATCACTTGAATCAGTGAATCATTAACTGGAGACTTACTCTGATGCGATCGATTGAATCAGTGAATTATTAACCGGAATCTCGCTCTGATCAAATCAATTGAATTAGTGAATCATAAACTGGAGACTCACACTGATAAGATCAACTGAACTAGTGAATCATTAATTGGATATTTGCTAAGATCAAATTACTTGAATCAGTGAATCGTTAACAAGAGACTTACTCTGATAAGACCAATTGAATCAGTGAATTTTTAACTGGAATCTCCCTCTGATCAAATCAATTGAATCAGTGAATCATTAACTGGAGACTCACTCTGATAAGATCAATTAAATCAGTGAATCATTAACTCTGATAAGCTCAACTGAATCAGTGAATCGTTAATTGAAGACTTGCTCAGATTAAATCACTTAAATCAGTGAATCGTTAACAGGAGATTCACTCTGACTGAATCGTTAAAATCAGTGAACTGGTTTCTGGAGACTCACTCTGATGAAATCACTTGAATCAGTGAATTATTAGCTGAAGACTCGCTCAGATCAGATCAATCGAATCAGTAAATTGTTAACTGGAGACTTTCTCTATGACTGAATCATTTGAATCAGTGAATTGTTTACTGGAAACTTGCTATAATGAGATCATTTGAAACAATGGATAATTGTTAACAAGAGATTTGCTCATTTATTGAGATCATTTGAAACAAAGACCTGTTAACTTGCTGAATGAATTATTATTTTGAGTTGACTAGTACAGTAAATCAGAAGATTTAAAAAAAATGGTCAGAGTGATTTATTTGCTCTATTATCTTTTGTTTGAATGTTATAGGGAGTATCTGTCTCCAGCCTCGGGCTTCCAGAGTCTTCAGTTCCGTCTTCTGGAGCAAAAGATTGGTGTAGCGGATCATTTAAGAGTCCCGTACAATCGCAGACACTACAGAGACAACTTTCATGGAGAGGAGAGCGAGACGCTGCTGAGTTCAGAGCAGGAACCCACTCTCCTTCAGCTGGTGGAGGTAAAACACTCATCAAAAACAGAAATCAAATCAAATCTTTAGGATCTTCTAAATGCAAACTATGAAATTTGTATAATTAGAAGATTGTCATAAATTTATGCACATTGCAGCAATGGCTGGAGAGGACACCTGGACTTGAAAAAGATGGCTTTAATTTCTGGGGGAAACTGCAGGCTAACATCGAAGAGGGTCTCAAGAGGGAGAAGCACCAAGTGGAAGTATGTTCTGCTCAAATAGTTTATACCATTGAGTTTTAACACTTTACAATAAGCTTGTATTAGTTAATGTTAGTTAATGCATGTACTAACATGAACAAACTGAACAATACTATTATTACATTACACAATTTCTTCATGTTATTTAACTTTAGTTAATGGAAATACAGCAGTTCATTGTTAGTTCATGTTAACTCGCAGTGCGTTAACTAATGTTGAAAAGCATGAAGTTGGATGTTAATAATGCATTAGTAAATGGTGAGCTGTGATTAATAAATGGTGTACAAGTATTGCTCATAATTAGTTTATGTTAGCAAATACTAGTGGTGTAACAGATTACATATCTCACGGTTCAGATTACATACTGTAATGGTTTTTTAGTCACGGATTGGACTATTTTTCGAATCAGACAAAAAGGAGAGGAGAAAAATAGAATTTGCTTTTTATTTATTACAAAAACAGTACTGCAATACACTTTTGGTTTCAACAAACCGAACTGAGAACCGGTAATTTTATTAAAAATAAAATTAAGAGATAATCAGCTGAATAAAAATAAATTGTAAATTATTCAGTAGTGTAGGAAATTGACTTTTACTACTACTGTTGCTAATATCGCTAAATGTATAAATCTAACATTATAGTTTGTACAATCCATATTTATTTTCAAAAAATGAGTCAGTTATTCACTCATAAAACTTCACATTTCATTGCTAGATTTGTCATTTTTGAAGAATTATTCAGTGGCATATTTTTGACGGCTGGTTGTTTCCACCTATTGATTAAATAATGTAATTGCTGCCTACAAGTTTCATTTTTGAGTGTTCAGTTAAATGCACATGACGGTTGTTTCTAATCTTTACCATAAACATCAGTGTTTTTATCTAAACTATGACATGCTAACCAAGTAGCTCTGTGTAATTTGTCTGTTTGTAACTTTATACAACTTAAATTTTTCATTTTCAGATTTGAATGGAGCGATTGAAAGGAATAATATGAAAATCACCATCATTTATAAATTATGTTGTGTGGGTGTTGAGATACCAATCTTTTGATCATTAATTGTGCAGCTTACACTGAATATGTTAATGCAAACTAAACTAAAGGCAGAAAATAACGTTAATAACCTAAGAAATCCACCACATCCTCAATAGCCTACCATAACTTTTTCAGTCATCATTATATTTTACAGGAAAGCCCTTCTGAAGGCTTTCATATACTTGTGATTTGAATGACGCTAAGAGGCAATCTCTCTGCAATCGTTACACATTTAAGATTTATCTAGCAACAAAAATAATTTATTATTATACAGCAGGACAAGTGTGTTCCGAACCGTGGGTTGTGATCCATACGAATCATGGATCAATAATGATCCACTACACCCTGAGTAAATACATTAACTGATGAAACCTAATTGTTAAGTGTGGCTGTGTTTTTTTTTTCAAATGTGTTCTTATTGTTTTTATATTAATCGTAACATTTTTTGATTAATAGAAAATGGAAGATACTGAGGTGAAGCAAGAGGTTCTGGAGGATCTAAACAAACAGATGGAGACCTTTACTGCCCTGTTTGACTCTAAACGCCACGAGCATCTGTTAAGCAAAGGTGAGGATCGGCTCACAATGCATTGCCATTTACAGTATGTGTGGTGTAGACCAGGGATGCCAAAACCTTTTTGTATTAAGGGCTAAAAATATCATTGATAGCCGTGATGTACCAAAAATATACCAAATAAATTTAACATTAAAGTTTATTTCATAATATTTCAAAATAAATCGAAAACATTACTTTGAATTATATTAACTTTTAACCCCTTTGGACCATGTGTCCATTACAATGGACATCACATGTCAGCCCATGCTTTTTGTGATTCCTGAGCATTTAATCTAATTTAACCCCTTCAGACCCTGCATCCATTACAATGGACATCACATGACATCCCATTTTTCTGAAATTTGGAACATAATTCAGGTCTGTAGGGGTTAAAGCCTGCAGTCCATCAGAGTGGATGATTAAAAGGTGGTAAGGTTCGGCATGTTGTAATTTGAAGACAATCCCCTACACTGAAAAGCAGCATGGTGTCACTTCACTCCAGACACCAATGTAAGCCACATTTACAATGTTTTTATTCAGATGTATTGATATTTTTCCCAATATTTCATAGATTGCAGGTAAAAAATGAGGGACTGCACTTACTAATTAAAGTTGGCAACTAATTAAACATTGCAAGCTTTATACACTCTGAATACACTTGTCGAGCAGAATCAGCCTTTGCCTTGATTTGATCCATCAGGTGACAGCATGTATATTTTAAACTAAATCTGATTTATCGACATGATTTAAACTGAAATATTTTAGTTTCAGGCAGCTTTTTTATAGCTTAACAATAGAACAAACATATTAAAAGTTACATTCAATTTGAGATAACAATCTCTAAACCAGTGGTCATCAAACTTGTTCCTGGAGGGCCGGTGTCCTGCAGATTTTAGCTCCAACCCTAATCAAACACTCCTGAACCAGCTAATCAAGGTCTTAGGTATACTTGAAACACCCAGGCAGGTGTGTTGAGGCAAGTTGGAGCTAAACCCTGCAGGGTCACTGGCCCTCCAGGACCAGGATTGGTGACCCCTGCTCTAAACCATCCCCATCATTCTCCCTCTCTTGGCGGGCCAAATCAAAGGTTACCATGGGCAAACTTTGGGCATCTCTGGTGTTGACCGATTAGCAGGGTTTATTGACTAATACCTTTTTTACTAATTAAAACTTAATGTAAAATTTACAGCTTAACTAAAACTAAATATAATATTAAGGAGTGCTAAAAACTCAAATTATTATACAAATAGAAAATGTGATCCTTAAAATATACTGTAATCCAAACATTACTAATATAGCAATAGTAATAATAATGCTACTAATAATAATATACTATATACTATAACAGTACTGTATTTATATATTAAGCAGGGGGTTTCAAAGTGGCACAGTGGGTAGCATGATCACCTCACAGAAAGAAGGTCGTTGGTTCGAGCCTCGGCTGAGTCAGTTGGCATTTCTGTGTGAAGTTTGCATGTTCTCCCCGTCTTCACGTGGGTTTTTTTCCGGGTGCTCCGGTTTCCCTCACAGTCCAAGGAGATGCTTTATAGGTGAATTGAATAAGCTAAATTGGCCGTGGTGTATGTGTGTGTATGAGTGTGTGTATATGTGTTTCCCAGTATTGGGTTGCGGCTGGAAGGGCATATTCTGCGTAAAACATATCCTGGATAAGTTGGCCGAAAAGACATATGAATATACGAATGAATATTAAGCAGGGCCTAATTTGAACTCACTAGTTAAAACGGTAAAATTATGTCATTACCCTTCTCCCAATACTTCTGTGACCTTATAGTACCATTCCAATATGGTGTTTAAATTTTATATTCAAGCAATGGGTTAATCATTTTTCACTCTTTTCCTAAAAAAGGTGAACGGAGACTTTCTTACAAGGCTCTTCAGGGAGCTCTAATGATCAATTTCTACAGGTTTGTATGAATACATTAATTGCATTTCATTTCATATCTACTGTTTTCATATCAATATTGATTGTTATACAATAGGGATGTAACGGTATCAGAATTTCACGGTACGATAATACCTCAGTATGAATAACACGCTACGGTATTTATTGAATAATTTACAGGAAAAACAAAACTAATGAAAAACTCGAAAAAAGTGCCAAAAGTATTTATTTACCTTAGCACTGAACATATCAATGACATACGATTTAGCATCTATCTGTAAGTTTCGAAACAGGAACTTAAATTTTTCAATTTTAATAACAAAAAACTATTAAACCATATAAAAAAAAAATAAAGTTTCAATTTAGTATTGTTGAAAACTCATCACATTCAACATTTAATCACTCACTCAGATAGAGATGGGTTTTTTTTACGAATAATTGTCATATAACTATAATCTGGTAAAAGCTGGGATCTCTGGGCATGTTCCCTGCAACAGAAAAACCCCTCTCATTTGGGACTGAGGTTTCTGGGACAGAGATATATGATTTAGCCAAGGTTGACAGCAGTGGGTAACGTTGTGCATTGTCTTTCCACCACTTGAGAGGACAAGCCATGAGTGAGATAGAGGTCTCTTTGCGGTACAAGTCAGTTGTCTGCAACAATCTAACAAGTGTGCTGTGTTCTGCAGTCCCCATGACTGTTTTTAGTCGTATTCCCCGACTTATATTTCACCACAGTGGCAGTGCAAGCATACTGTTTTTTTATTTGTCTGTCACCTTTTCTCCTTTTTCGTATCTTTTTTGAAAGAAACCGAAATGCTTCCACTCATCCGATTTAATACCCGCTTTAGGTTCGATCATTTCCAGCTCTTTTTCTTCCCTCCTACTAGCAGCACACTCCATTTTCGCATTACTGGATCTGTTGTGACAACAGACCGCAAAGGATGATGGCCACGCCTAGGCTGATGGGAATTGTAGTTCCCGCTACCTCCCGTTCGTTTCATTCGCCTAAGCAAACTTTTCTCAGAAATATAGTTTTATTGAATCATGCGCCTACGATAATATTGAAAAAAATTACTATTGCGGTATGACGGTATTTACAATATTGTTACATCCCTATTATACAATGAAGAAATACCTTAGTCATTTATTTCCTTCTCCAGGGAAGAGCCTCGATTCCAGGTACCTTTCCAGCTCCTGACTGCGCTGATGGAGATCGATACACTCATGACCAAGTGGAGATGTAAGACTTTCATTCAGGGATCTGCATTTACACTAAAGCCACGTCTACAGTCTAACATTACAATCCATTCCCTCCAGATAACCACGTGTGTATGGTGCACAGAATGATTGGCAGTAAAGCAGGAACGGGGGGATCTTCAGGATACCATTACTTGCGCTCAACTGTCAGGTGTGTGTGTGTGTTTGTGCGTGTCACTTTTTCTCTGTGTGGCTTGCTTTGGATCAGCTTTGCCTATATTAGACTATAGATATACACATGTGGTCTACTTGCATTTCTCGAGCTACATTCCACTCCAATATTTTATGGCCTTCACTTGCTAACTTCCCCGTCTAGTTCCCTCAAATGTACATAATTAATTACATCTGAATCTGAATGGGTTTAAATTGAATGCCTTAAACCCTTGAGCACTTGGGAACTAGGCTGATGTGATGTCACGAAGGCTAGTGTGTGTCAATAAGTGTGTCTTAAAACTGGGTTGCAGTTGTAAGGGCATCCACTGCGTAAAACAGGGATGTCCAAACTCAGTCCTGGAGGGCCGGTGTCCTGCAAAGTTTAGTTCCAACCCCAATCAGACACACCTGGGCTAGCTCATCATGCTCTTTCTAGGCTTTCTAAAAACATCCATGCAGGTGTGTTGGAGCTAAAATCTGCAGGACGCCAGCCCTCCAGGACTGAGTTTTGACACCTCTAGCGTAAAACATATGCCAGAATAGTTGGTAGTTCATTCCGCTGTGGAGGCCTCTGAAAGAGAGCCAAAGGAAAATAAATGGATTCATTTCTTTAAGTCCTTTATAGTCTGACCAATATGATGATGGTGGTAATATTGTGACATAGCAGCAGCTTGTTCTTTGATTTTACATTGACAATCTTCTTCTTATTATTATTTTACAAGTCAATATCAAGTTATATTCTTAAGTGGTTTGAAATCCAGTTCAAGAAATCTTTTAGTCTGTTCCAATAGAAACTAAATTTGTCCACAAATAATCCGATCTGGACCGACAGTGTGAACATTCAGCATGTTTAGTTTGTAAACTTCCTCGTGTTGTTGTCATTTCAACTCCTTTACTTATAATTCTCCAAAGATATGATCTATACCGCTCACTTATCTCCGCCTGATGTGCTTTACAAGTGTTTGCAGCTAATAAAATTCACATTTTCACTACGTTTATTGGAGTTTAGCACTGTAATAAACAGTAACAGTTTAACCTTATCAGGGAGGACCATAACATGAAGGGGTTATGCAACAAATCAGTCATGCCTCATTGTTTTTTTCATGTTTCAGTGACCGTTACAAAGTGTTTGTGGATTTGTTCAACCTCGCCACTTTCCTGGTTCCTCGTTCCTGGGTGCCCAAACTCAACCCAAACATCCATAAGTTCCCGTACACTGCCGAGTGTTACGACAGCTCGTACAATTCATGCAGCAGCGAGGATTCCGATTAGAAACATCAGACCTGTTTGTTTGTGAATAATGTTAAAGAATCCGGGATTAATGCCAGATATTGATACTCCTGTATTGATCAGCCAAAGTTTGTGCTTTTTGGACTATTTACTTGTTTGATTGAAGAGACTGAAAGTTTTTTTCCACCTTATATAAACGCAAAGATTTATTATAAAGTAATTGTGCACATATTAAAAATCTAAAGGAGTTCTCTACATACTATTTATATTTTAAACATATATGTAAAATATAAGTCTTTTGTACTAAGAATATATTTTTGAATGAGGCACATGATGTAGGTTTCTCTGGTTGTTTGTAAATATATGATACACTCTACTGGGTATGTATAGTATATATCCTAATATAAAATGTCATTTAGACTGTACAGACAAGTGATGATACTATGTTCCATATTATTAAACAAAATCTTTTTTTGTCTTTACTATATGCTTCTTACAAAAATAAATGCTAAACTCTTTCCTGAATTTTCTCTCACCAAGGTCACCAGCTTCTGTCAGTAAATATTTGTGTGACGGCTGCCACTCTGTCCGTCTTGATGTCTTTATTTTAACGTAGTGTTTATATCATTCTTGGTAACATTTTGATACTTTGATCTTATTTAATAACTAATAATTAAGTTTTCTTCATTAGTAAGCACGAACTAACATGTATTAATGAATGTCAACATGTACTAGTGCATTTTGTATTTTAAATTTAGTTTCTTCACAGAAACATTCACCAAATCAATATAAAAACACATTCTAAAGTCTTTTGTACTACCAATAATGTATTTTTGAATGAGGCACATGATGTAGATTTCTCTGGTTGTGTAAATATCAGAGGTGTAAAGAGTACTGAAAAATCATACTTAAGTATAAGTACCATTACTTGTGTAAAAATGTAGTGCAAGTAGAGTAAAAGTATCTTTTGTAAATATTACTGAAAGTATGAGTAAAAGGTAGACATTTTAAAAGTAGGCTACTCAAAAGTAGCAAGTAGTGAGTATTGTAAAAAGCTGATGCGTTTACATGTAGTTTGTGGATGTGTGTAAACGTAACATTCTGTAGTGCCTTTAGTTATTGCCCAGCAGGCACACAACGCTATAAGACGTTAATATTAGGTTAGATTTAGGTTGTGACGTCAGGTGACCATAATTCAACATCTAACCAGCATGCAGCGTTATTTTCATGTCCAATAACAATGTGAAATTATGTTGATATTTGGTTGATTTTAGGTTGTTTGAAAGTGACCAAAAGCCAACATCGAGCCAACATCTTAAACCAACGTCTCATTGGCTTCAAATACTGACATTTATTTGTCAGGTATGGCAACTAAAATCCAACATCTGATAGGTGTCAGCCGCTTGTTAAGTGTGACGTCATGCGAAGTGGCTTCCGGGTCCAAGCGCTCTATTCAACTGTATGGAGAGACTCATGAAATGATAATAATAAACATTTACAAAGTGATTTAATACTTTCGAAAATCACGATCACAATATATACAGTATGTCCATGCCTAATATCCAATGGCCAGAAAGTGATTATTTTTTTTTATAAATTGTTAACATTTTGGTATTTGTTATGCAGCAAGCCCAGAGATTGTTGTGTACACTATGACTTTATATAAAACTAAATTTAATGACTGATATGAATAAAAAGTGATCATAAACAAATGATTTCTCAACTCAAATGAGTGGTGGCTTGGACAGTCTTTGTTTTAGGTTGGACGTTGGACATTGACGTCGGCCTAACGTTGAGTTCTGACGTCAACCTAATTTTCATTTCCAAACAAACTGCAATGTCCCCATGATGTTAGGGTACAACATCAATCTGACATAATGTTGACGTCTTGTGCCTGCTGAGTGTTTAAGACCATTTCGGTCACCATACAGTTGTTACAGTATCTGCCATCTTCTCATCAGTGACATGCATCTAAACAGTCTCTGGTCAGTGCGTGTAAAGATTTTGGACATATTCTTGGACACTTTTAATGCTTCCAAACAGTTTGCAGCAATTATAAATTGTCCGTCTTGAGGTAGTTCATTATGATGTGATTTACCTTGTATATGTGATTTGATTGTACAGGAATCACCGTATTTTTTTCAATCCCCATAGACAGGAAAAAATAAAGTAGTGACTGCAGGTCGCGGGAAAGTAGTGGAGAAAAAGTACAGATTACTGCACTAAAAATGTACTCAAGCGAAAGTAAAAGTACACATTTATTTTTAAAACTACTTAGTATAGTACAATTCCTGAGGAAAAACTACTCAATTACAATAATATGAGTATTTGTTGCTTTACATCACTGGTACATATATACAACACTACTGTATATCGTGATATAAAATGCCATTTAGACTGTACAGATAACATGCGCATTTTAAGTGATGATACCATGTTCAACATTATTAAACAATATGTTTTTTTGTCTTTACTATAGGCTACTTAATAAATACTAAATTTCCGTCTGAATTTTCTCTGACCAAGTTCACCGACTTCTGACAGTAAATATTTGTGCCACTTTGTCTACCATGACTTTTTTTATTTTAACTTAGTATTTATGTATTCTTGGTAACATTTTGATAATAAGATTGTATTTAATAATTAATTTAATAACTAATAATTAGGTTATCCTCATTAGTAAGCACAAACTAACATTATTGAATGTCTACATGTGCTATTGCATTTCACATCTTGAATTTAGTTACTTCACAGAAACATTCACCACATCTGGTCTTCAAGATCACTAGATATCTATAAGCAGAAGTGTTTGATTAGAGTTGGAGCTAATCTCTGCAGGTCACCAGCCCTCCAGGACCGAGTTTGCCCACACCTGCTGTAAAGTGTACATAAATTTAAGAAACTCCTCACCAGGGGCGGACTGGGGCAAAAATTCAGCCCTGGCACTGTTGCTACACCAGCCCACATTACCACACCGACACAGCCCCACCCACGGACACGCACATTCACTATTTATTTTGGTTTAAAGATGGTGAAATAATATGACATTCTTGCCAGATTTTGATTATGTCGGGGTAACCTTGTATTAGGTCGGCCCATCTTGAAACCAGGTGGCAGTTGCCGATTGGGCCAAATGATAAACATTTATTATTATTATTTTTATTATCATCATCATAATATCACATCTAGCAAGAGATAAAAGCTGTCTGCACTTAAAAACAATACATACTAAAAAAAAAAAAAAAAAAAAAACTGACCGGCCCACATTTAAAAATTGGTCTGGCCCTTCTGGCATTTGCCAGAATTGCCAGAATTGCCAGATGGCCAGTCTGCCCCTGCTCCTCACTGTAATAGTTTTCTGTCATGTCAAACATTATGACCCTGACCCTATCCACTCAGATAACTCAGATTTATACTGCTGTCATATATGTATAGTTAGTCATCTAAGACCAAAACTTGTGTAAATACAGTATAGTAATAGGTTAAAGTGAAACAAACTTTGTTTTACACCTTAGATGTGTTACTAGACGTACTGCCGTATCATAGAATTATAAAAAGTGCATCGATGGATTTGCTCTTCAGTGTTTGGACTTTCAGCAGTGAAAATTAAACGACACTGAACTGAACTAAACTGAACTTCAACTCTGAAAACGAATTCAATTTACTTGATCTATAAGTTGCTTTGACACAATCTACATCAGGGGTCACCAACATGGTAGCCCACGAGGATCACATGAGTTGCCCGTGGGCCTGTTATAAAATTAGCTTAGCATAGCACCACATACCAGTAAGCTGCATCTAATATTTTTTGTAGCTATTCTTTTTAAATCACACTTGCATTGGTTGATATTTATCTGTTTCCAATCATTGTTGACAACTATTGTGAGAAATCATTAACATGATCAGTGTCTTCACATATATGAATATCATTAATTATTAATAACATATAATTAAAAGTAAATTAAGCAAATTAGTTATTAGGAAGTATGTATCAATCTGGTAGTCCTTCACATTAAACGATACCCAAGAAGTAGCTCTCAGTTTCCAAAAGGTTGGTGACCCCCGATCTACATTGTAAAAGCGCTAAAGAATTAAAGATGAAAATCAATTGTTTTTAACAGCTATTTTCATGAAATATATGATTTGCTCATCAGTAGTTCAATATTTAAAATGTCACATGTTTAATAGCCATGAATCATTTCCTATGGTTTACTCATTGCTCTTCAAATGACTACACAAAAAATAATGATGCATGATCGATTAGTTGACTGTTTGTTTGTGCCGTTCGTGAACTTTCTTAACCTGTGTGTGTAGTTGTTCGTTCAGTAACGCCCATTCGGCGATTTGTGTAAAATGTAGGAGGAAAACAACATGTGAGCTCTGTTCAAAAATTAACTGCAGAGTCAGATGTACAGAGGGCATGAACTCGCGATGGAGAGTTTACACAGAAAACAACACAAGTGCACAGTCACTGGGCTTGATAGAAAGAGCAAAGGGCTCAATTGATTCATTCATTCAACAGTATTTATGCATTATTAATAATCCACTATAAATGTAGTGAACTGTACATTTGTACAAAGTGCTACACTTGTGGATGGTTGTTGAACAGATGGAGGGATAGACATTTGGAATGAGAATAGATATATGTAACAGAGGCCCGCTGGTGAAGTGCTGTGCAGGTAAACCTCACTCCTCTGAACTTGAAAAGGTGTGACACGCTAAAGGCCATGGTGTTTAGCCTCCTTCTTGGAGAGTCGCCAGTTTAATCCCAACTCATAGTGCGTTGGGTGGTGTAGGACTGACGGGTTACATATACAAATAGAATGGATGTATGAACAGTTGGAGGAATGATGGATAGATGAATAATGGGTAGATAATGGATCAGTGTTTGATAGATAGATAGATAGATAGATAGATAGATAGATAGATAGATAGATAGATAGATAGATAGATAGATAGATAGATAGATAGATAGATAGATAGATAGATAGATAGATAGATAGATAGATAGATGGAAGGATATTTGGATGAATGGACGAATGATGGATGGATGGATGGATGGATGGATGAACAGTTGGACGAATGATGGATGGATAGATCGATGGATAGATGGTAGATGGGTCATATTTGATGGATAGATGGATGGAGGAATGATGGGCGGCTGGATGGATGAATGTATGGATAGTATATGGATGGATGGATGGATGGATGGATGGATGGATGGATGGATGGATGGATAAATAGATGGATGGATGTATAGATCAATTAAATATGCAAAGATGGAAGAATAGATATTTGGATGATAAATGGATGGATGGATGAACAGTTGGAGAGTCGATGAACAGATGGATGGTTTAAAGATGAATGGAAGGATAGATATTTGGATGATGAATGGAGGAATGATGGGTGGATGAATGGATAAATGATACATGGATGAAAATATAAATAGGATGGATGGATAAATGATAGGTGGATAGATGGATTCAAGAGTTATTATTTCTAATCCACTATAAATTTAGAACACTGTATTTTT